TAAACTGCAATTACCTAGCCAAAATCTTACTGAACGCATTTCAAACAACTCTTCAATTTAATTCACATGAATAATTTTATTTTGTAATAATGTTATATATTTTTCAAAGATGCGGCAGTTCAACATCAATGAGGATAATATAGAAAAACAGGATATGGACATATTATGATTGATTTGAACAAGCCAATAAATACGATACTTGCAGTATTAAAAATCTATTTTTAAGTTTTCCAAAATATTATAAGTAACTTTGGAAGGCGGGTAACGCGGATAGGCCTCCGTCTTGTGTTTAGTAAATTATTATTGCTAACCTATTAATATATTATTCCGATTATGTTATCAAGATTCAAGATAAATCCCAAACAAGCATATATTATTATTATATTATGTGAAAATACTATTTTTAGAAATGTACCTTTTGTTTCGGTCATAACGTGTCTATTCTTGTCCGGCAACAACATTTAGTTTTGTATTTTGACATATAATTGTTAATTTAAATTGTTTTAAAATTTTCAAAATGTAATAATATTTATTTAAAAGGACATTGTCATTACCCATTCAATTTTTGTCTCCGTCTTATACACGTACAATACGGAAAATTGTCGGTCACTTGTATAAATAGCGTGCTGTTAGTTTTGATATTAGAGTAAGTTGACCTATAATATACAACTTTTAGGCAAGACAAGTATCTGTACTTAGACGTCAACTTTTATTTGATATTTTAATTTTCAAGCGAGATATGAGCATTTTTAATTTGTGATATTTTACATGCCCATTTCTTGCTTGAAAATTAAAATATCGAAAAAATCACCGATGCACAACTATTATTCTTACCTAAAAGTTTGATGATAGGTCAATTTTCTCTAATATCAAAACTAACAGCACATTATTGAAAGTTAAAACTAGTAAACATAAATTTAGTATACTTTCAACAATACAATTTGCCATTTGGTTATACAACAACTACTCATCCTCTTAAGTTATTTAAGTTATTATAACTTATAAGTCATAACTTTCCATGTGTATCAAATGTGGGGAAAATCACAAATCCACCTCCTACAAAAAATTTTCGGATTTCCCAGAAAAATGCGCCCTCTGCAAATTACCACATCCTGACAACTACGAAGGATGTACAATATACAAATAACTGACCCGCCAACACAACAACATTTCAAACCAAAAACGTCAAAAAACCAACGCCATTCAACTCCATCAGTCACCAAAAATCCTGAATTCGGAACATCACCATCAACATCTATAGCCACTGAAAACCCGACAAATCTACGTTCGTATGCAAATGTGACAGAGGGTCTCTAATCATTCAAACCAAATCCTACTCCTATAGACAACAATGGAATCTCACTTCTCAAACTTATTGATGAATTTAAATCCATTTTATATCACCTTATATCCCCCCTCACCACTGTACTCTCAGCTATCACAAAAATCGTCACGTCATGAAATTTCTTTAATGGATGGTAAATTAATACTATCAAGTCCCCTGTCTCTATAAAATTAGTTAATTTAAATTATTATATTTCATTTTACTTAATCTTATTTTACATCACCTGTCCTTAATGTAAATAGCAATTTACAGACTGTACAAGTCTTAATTAAAAAATAAAGTTATTGATAATTAATTATATTTAACTAGTAAGGTAAACTTCAAAACTAGTTATTTTTAAATCAAATGCTACAATTTAAAAACATCAGCTCGTTCACCCATACTTAATCATCATTACTATTTACTCCGTTCATATTTACTTTACAGTAGCACAATAGAATATTGATAATTATTTCATTTTTTTCAATTGAGTCGGTACCTATTGGTTTAATATTTTTTTATTTTTTTTTTTTTGATATTGAATAATAATTCATATTTAGTTATTATTTGATATTTGATATTTGAGATATTTCTGAAACTGTTTGAAAAATGTATATTAGATTAACAATTTAAGGAGAATTAAATATTTCAAATTTAATTTAGATTAAAAATCATTTGTACGTCAAAGATATGCAAATTCCTAGAGTTTCCTAAATTATGTACCGTTTACAATTAAATTGAATTAAGTGCTAATTATGCACTTTTAAGTGCAAATTGTATTATATTTACTACATGCTTACGTAAACATTATGTGACTATAAACTATAAAATTTCAATTTTATATACTTACAAATACTGAAATACCTATAGAATAACTTACAAGTTAAGGCTCAGTACACTCATTGAGTCATTCACGGTTAAACATCAGTTCTCACGTGAATATAACCCTACTTGGCTATGTGTATAAATCCCATTAAAACATATTGAATTTGACATCAAATGACCAATTAACGTAATGCAGTTATAAAATAAAATTATATATCATTCAACCCCTTCCAATTTTTGGGTTTTGTGAACATCATATGCATCGCAATACGCTATTATATCGAAAAAATAATGGTGATTAAATTGTATAATTAATTGAATAATTATTATGATTGAATGCAAAATGTTAATCTTAGGTTTATTTACATTCATCACAACACTTTAATTTGTACGGTCAAATGTAACAATAGCTTATGATAAACACAATTGTGTTGATTAACGACAAGAATTAGCATCGTTATTAAAATTAAAACAATTCGTTTTTATGAAATTTACTTGTGACCTTTGAAAACGTACGCACGAAACCAAATTAGTATTCTGTCTGGATACCTACAAATAAGGCAATAAGTGTTTAAATGTGTGTTACCGTGTTACATTAAAAATTGTTTAATTATATTATTTTATGTAGGTAATCAACTAACAAACAATTACAAATGATGTGTATAAAATAATTACTAAAAATGCTTGAGGTAGAGACTAATAGTGTTAACTAATTATAGTCATAACTAATATTATCTAATAATAACTATAAGGTATAATTAGGTATAGGTACCTACTTTATTCTATACCTACTACGCCGAAAACGTTCGACGGAAAGTGTAATGTTCTGTAGGGAAAAAACGAACATAATATATAGATACGATTTATTTCTTTTTCCCCTATTCAGCTGATGTATAATATATATAATATAATAATACTATATTATACTACCAGAGGCGTGCTCTGAGTCTGGTGAGATCATTTCGAGCCCTCTAGGACAAAGTATTTGGAATAATATAAAAATATCCACCCTCCCGCAGACCGACCTATGTACGCGTTGTACATATAATAATAATGTGTTAGCAGCTGCGTGATTCGAAATTTCCACGTCTGGAACAACGTGTTTCGGTCGAATTAAATATATAGGTAGGAAGTTTGAAAAAAGTTACCTTCACTAATATAATATTTTATCACGTCCGGTAACTATATGATAATAGCGTTACACATATCCGTAAATAAACGACAAAAAAAATGAATATTTTTTATTGTATTGAGCAAATTAGCATAATATTATTGTTGGTGGCGGTGTCGGTGTGTCACAGAGACGAGTTCGTCAGCTTGTCACCGCCGCTGACTACGGACGAACACCGGAAGAAGATCAGATTCGAGCGTTGCGAAACATTCAGTGCCTCAACTAGGTTAGTGGGCCCTGATGTTAAGGGGCCCGTGTGGCCTTTACTTGTACTGCAATATAATGAAAAAAAATTAGTGCCGCCACTAACATCTAAATCTAGTGCAAGACAACATTTATGGCCCAACATTTTTAACAATTTTGCAAGTAGTATAGTAATGTTGGTTATATTAAGTTCATCATATTTTTAAACACATCTCTAACAATGCACCAGTTAGCAGTAGTCAAGTAGTCAAGTCAGTTAAAAAAGCTTTTACCTAATTTATCAAACAAAAATGTAAGAGGTGTGTTAATTTTCGTCGATTTTAACACAATATTACCTACATTAAAATTTAAATAACAAAAAATAAACGATCATCAAATATTATACAATGATTTCATTTTAAAAAGTTTTCCTTTCTAGAATTCATATTTGCAAACATTTATACATTTTTCAAGATCAAGTTAATTTTTCCTTGATTTTTAAATATTAAGTATATACTTATGCCTAAATTGAATTTATTTCCGAAGATAGTTTTCAACAGTTTTAATTTGGAAAATCACCTTCCAGCATTAGTTACAGTAACTGAGAGACTTAAATATATAATACAAACAGTAAGAATTTCATTATAAAGGGATGAAAGATAATTTTCCATAACAAAGAATTGTTTAATTTTCGAATAATATCATTATAATATCGAACTGTTATGGGTATATTTTCCATTCGAATAATAACTTATTAAATTTTTCCTTTTGATGATTTAAACATAAAACCTAGACAGGGAATGCAATGCATGCTTTGAGTACCCCATTGTTGCGGCACTGGACACATTATTATTACTCACCGCTCGCCGACGAGTAAAAAACCCATGCGCGGTGCATGCGACGGCGGCGGCGATTGTGGTGAGTGTACGAAATTCTTAAAATAATAATAACAAGTAACAACGACAATATCATAATATTTTAGGTATAGCCGGTAGAGGTATCGCCGTATCGGCAGTTCGGCACGGCCGTACGGGTGATCGTCGTTCGACACCGGTCGCCGGCCGTCGGTTCCTGTCGGTTTAACGGTTTTCGGAACGCACCGCCGCCGCACCACCGCGCGCGGCACAAGGCACGACGTCGCGTCGTCGTCGTCGTCCGTCAGTCGGCATTTCAGCTTCGAACGTCAGACACGCGTTGTCCGCGCCGCGTTTTCGCGTTTTCGTGTGCGTGTCGTCTCCGTCGCGGTTGTCCGCAAACTGAAAGTAATAATAATTTGGCGACACTCGTGCCGTTGACTATTTCAGTTCGTTTAGTTGGTTTTTTTCACGGTTTTTTTGGTTCGCTTTTTCCGCCAAAGTGCGACTCTCTCGTGTCATGACGGCGTCGGCGGGATTTTCGTAGCCCGCGGACCGCTATCGTTTTCCGTTAACTCCGTGCCGGTGGTTTTCGCCGTTGCCCGTCGCCAAACCGGCAACCACAGCCTTCGCTACCCTAGCGATGCGGCGGAAGACCCGCGGGTCGCCGCCGGATCCGGCCCTTGTCGCCCTGCTCGCCGTCGCTGCCTTGATAGCCGCAGCAGTAGGATCGTCGCCGGACGGACAGCAGGCGCAACAGACGCAACCTCAACAACAACAAGCATCAGGTAAGCTGGGGAGATTTTTTACTTTCCGCAACCTGCAACACTGTCTTGCTCGCGCTGGGCCGGCCCCGCGCGTGACGGCCACAACCGGTTTTCCGTGCGTGTGCATCTACCTGCAGCTCTTTGTTCCTTCGGTGCCCGGTGTCGGTGATCGGCAATGAGAGGAGGTGTTTCTTCTTTCTTTACTCCCCCCTACCCCCTCGACTCATCACTGCCCCACCACGAACGACACCACTCGTAATAATAATTATTATTCACCCGCCCCCTCCTCCCAAACAACCGCCGATGCAGCAGGTGTTCGCTCTCCCCCCACCCCCCTCCTACCACCAGTCACCCGAGAAACCACCGGTGTGCTGCCGCTGCTCCGCGGTCGGATGGCTCCGACGACAATAGACTGACGCGAACCGCTGTCGTTTTCTTATTTATAATGGTATTATTATTATTACCAACTATTATTATGTTCCTCAATATGGGAGGAGGGGGGTGGCGGGTGATGCTAGCAGAAAAAATAATCCAAAAACGAGTACTCGGGTTAGGTTGTGAGGGGTAGAGACTATTTTAGAGAGAGAAGCGTAAACTTGAACGACCTATATTATATGTATTATAATGATATACGTAGGTACCTATATTGTTTTGTGTGTAGGTAGTATCCATGTTGTCCTCGCATGGGACGTATAAGGGCCGTCGTTGTACATCGTTCGATTTTTTTCACTATATTTTTACCTTTGCACGCAAAATAATAATTCTACCGTGTACAAGGCGGTGGATTGTTTTCATCACCCTCCCCAGGCTGATTTTTTCATCAACACTTTTGTGTTTTCTGTAGCGACTTGCATCGCGCACGATACGATTACCTATTGTAAACAATAACAATATTATATAGGTACTTGGTAATTAGTATAATCACCGCCGTTTAAAATGTTGAAAGACATCCGGTATACATTCGCACGTTTACATTCGTCGTCCACCCACAGTTTTTGGAATTCCGAGAGAGATCAATTTTTCTTCAAAGTTTGCGTTCATAACGTGCGATAACGAGATTCATAATTTAAAATTTGTTTTAAACCAAATACTCGCCAAATACCCTTTGGGTAATTATAGCATAAAAATTGAGCATTTCCCCTAAAGCCGATCAAATTACTCGACTGGATGGTAGATAGGTTACCTGACTTGTGTAATGCCGTATAATTATGATAATTTAGGTAATATTATAGGTATTTTGTTTTTTTTTTTGTCTAAAACCAAATTTGAAAAATAATCCACGGAATGTTTCTATGCACGTTTATCGAATGAGGTAAATTATGGTGAGGATAGGTAGTCGTGTAGAGAACCCTTTTAAAAACAACCCACCTTCCTACGAAATTTTTTTTCCTTAGGTAGGTACGTGCTCGATCGTATATAATATAAATTATAGGTGTATTATATAGTGTCCCGTTTATTTTTTCTACCGTCCCTGTATAATATAATATTATTAAGCTATGTCGCGTAGTTTCTTCGACCGTACTGCGACGACATAATATTGTGATTATTATTATTGAAAGGCCACAACTGTTTGCTCTGTTCAGACGAACCCACTTTAAGGAATTTATCGCGTGTAAGAAAAAACAATTCCTCTTTTTAAAACTGCGTTTTTCGATGTTACGTCGATGAGCTCGTCGTCGAGCTGTTTCTGAGAATATGTATTATAAGCCATGTTTGTCGTTCTGTATGGTTGTTATGTCGGTCGACATTTCGAAAAAAAATAAAACCTCGGCAATTTGTGCGACAAAAAAAATATTTGTCTTCGTTTCCTCGTTTATAATACATTTTTGTGTATAATAACACAGAATAGATTAATAACAAAACCTAATATGCAACCAAGAAAAACTGTTTGTTTGCATATTCGTTGAACCAAGCTCCGTTGTGTTGAATATATTCTCAAAATAATAATGTTGATAAATGTAAAACTATACATTTCTACTATATCGTGCGGATTCGACGTTTCTGCGCCGTAAATATTGTAAAAATCACAATAAATACTGTTTGTTTACAAGGAGTATGATGGGGTTTTGATATACCTAAGTTATTAATACATTTTACCACAATATTATAAGAATAAAACGGAATAAAATATAATAAATTAAACGTATATGTCTGCTTATGACAATTTGAACTAAATAATATGATTAATTTGTCGATATGATATCATTACGATTTGTTATCCAACATTATCTACGTCCCTAGGGCTAGGGCTATACTTCGGAGTTTTTCACTGCATCAGCTATGGTGCCTTATACCGTGGTATACTTCGGCGCATTCCGTCGCGTAAATCATACACACTAATAACATTATACAATTATGGTATACACGTTCCGTTATCTGTATTGCCCATCCCAAATTAAAAACATGTAAAATTAGGAATTTATGCTATATTGTTACTTGGGCGTTCGTTCACTAAAACGACGACGGCCCGTCGGCGTTTTCCGTCGTCTATAGCGACTATATTCTTAAATACAAAACAACGAAAATTGAATGAAAACACCACGTATCACATTAGTCACATATTTTATTAACAAATGTTGTTATCCACAAACGATAAGTAGGTATATTTTGTGAAGTTGGAATGAATTAAAAATATAGTTATGTACCTATGTGTATTTTAACCGATTTCAACGTAATATTATTATGTTATAGGTACCTACCGAGTTAACATTATTAATTATAAATTGGAGATAGGTTTTTTAAAAAAAAGACTCATTACTTGTAACTATTTAATAGTTGTAAATTTGAACGGTAGGTACCAACATTCTATAAAGTAATAACTCAACACTAAATCAAACGTAGGGAATTATTAGCAAACAAAACACGTGTCAAGCTGTACTCAAAAAGTAAAAAAATATAAAATGCACTGTATTAAAATAAGTAATAATGCAGTACCTACCTATGAAAGTTAAAAAATAACCTATTCCCTCGCCTATTCCTGAATGAATTGCTATAAATGGTATGAGTTATGTTATGCGTGTTTATGACTACGTAAGTCGGCAAACTGTTGTCGCTGTTGTTTTGTGTCAACAAGTGTCTTGGAGCGATAACGAATTCTTGTTGTGCAATTGCATCATTGATAAAAAGAATTATTGTTATTATCATGACTCATTTGTATTAGTAGGTAATTGTCAATCACAGTGTATTCTGGTTATAATAATACGCAGTTTGGCGTTCAAACTGTAAGATCAATTTTATATTTTGAAATAGTTTTAGAAATGCAATTTATGTAAGACTAACACTTAGAATATTGGTTTTTTTTATTAAATAAATATATTATGTACACTTTCATAGCTGAAACGTGTCGATCCTTCAACAAAAATGTAATAGTTTCTACCTTTTCAACAAAAAAGGAAACTATAATACGTTACTATAACAGATTTTTGCATTTTTGCTACACGGTTGTGATTATATTTTGTTTGTAGATCAAAAGAATATAAAATCAAATAGGTAGGAACTATGAGGAGAATTACGGAAAAATCTTTGCATTATTATATTTCTTCTATAGGTGCAATTTGAAATGCTAGTTTAATAAGTAATAATAATGATAGTTTTTTTAAAATAATATGTGGAGAGTATAGAGTGTAATTTGTCTGTACTCAAGTTTCAAGTAGGTATAAAGACACATCATGTAGTTAGGACATTTACAGAATATAAGTCAGTAGTCACGATAGTTTTTTTGGTAAATGATTTAGTAACAATATTATTTGGATACAGCCAATAATCTTTTAATTTAAACATTTGATCACTGTATTAGCATAAACTGATAAATTCCATTAAAAGATAATTTATTAGGTACCATTAACCTACCTTGGATAAGCATTGAGCTCGGTAAGCTTTTCTGCTGATATAACAGTGGGCTTAGATGTAAGCATTTAGCTCAGCATTTAGTTTATATATACTTACATTGGCAACATAAAATGAAAATAACTGATAAATTGTACTTAATAAAGTATATATTTTACATACGTAGATACAAAAGTACCAAATTCTTGAATATTTATTGACTACAATAAATAGGTACTATAATATATTAACAGATTTTAGAATACTAAAATGTTGAATAAAATACATTTGTGTGCAACTACATACACCACACAAGCTTATTATTATCTTCAAAGAATATTTCTTCCAAACTAATGCATGCATTGTTACCTTTTATTTTTATTGTTTGTCTGACCTAATAATCAAATTTTTTTATGTGTATAAATTTTGTCTTTATTCTATTACTCTCGTTTGCATCCACCTGGATGCAATTTATGAATGAGTCTTATGTTGTAAGTTTCTGTTTATCTTTTAAAGTTTGTTACAAATTTTATTTCTGCTGTACATTTGAGTACCTATATTCATGTTTTTGAAATAAATATATTATATATTATATATTATATATTACTTAGATAAAGAATATTGTTCATATAGTAACGTTTTGTGTAAGTGGGTAATTATTAATTGTGCATAGATATCTGCATATGAACACGCATTTAGGTAAAGGTCCATGTCCAACGTTTACAATATTCCGAAGAAAAATCGTTGGGTATTTTGAGGTATTTTAAAATCTTTGGAATTATACATTATATTTTAATAATACGTATATTAAAGTAGTATAACAATAGATACATGTGATTTTTATTAATTGTTGTTTCCTATATTATTGTTTATTCGTATTTATGTATAATTTTCGTTTTGCAATTGTAAGCTTTGCATTGTTTACATACCTACATTGGATAAAAAATAAATAAAATTATTCGCAAACTTATATTTGAATTCAAACGTGCGAGACGATTGGTACAAAAGTTTTTCATCTTGTTATTTCCTTTCTTGGTCTACAATAATGAATAGTGTAATTATCGTGTCTAATTAAACAAAACGAAAGTTATGTGAAATGTTTTCTAAACAAAATTCACACGTTTTCTTAAGCTGGACTATAATTTACAATTAAAACTGTATTACAAATTTTATTTTTTTTTTGCTAAATTTGTTTTGTTGATTACTTATGTAATTATAAATATAACTAGTTTAATATTCATTTTTAAAAATAATTTATTACATTCCTAGTTTGCGCTATTAATGTCTATAAATAGAACTTTTCTAAAAGGTTATACATTATATATTGTATTATTGTTATGTACATATTTCGTTT